CTTACTGATTATTTTCTTAGGGCTCTTAGGGTTTATCAAGTGTTTTATCACATTTTTCTAAACTACAGGCTTTGCCCAAAAGCTTTGTTTGCACAAGGGTGTGTCCAGTCCACAGGTGGAAAATTTCCATAATTCTTTCCACTCTGTACTATGTTCGTCCCTCCTCCCTTTGTTCTATTGTTCAGCGTCTCTGTCCATTGTGATCCTAACATGCTTTAATTGTAAGGATCAACTTTATTTGAGATTTTAAACCCTCAAGGACCAAAAAGGTGGGGTAAAAAAATCTGAATTCTTTTGGGATAGGACCACATATTTGCCAAACGTCTACACAGAGAGCAAATGTGACTCTTTTCTTACTTATTCAAACATCCAATTGTATTTGTTAAGTAACTATGCAGCCAATACTATGTCAAAGACACCACACACCCTTTTTTTAAAAAATCCTTCAATTCAGCAAATTAGCCGGGATGACCCATTTTGGCACTACAATGGTGACATTGTTTGTGCACTTACTATCGTTCCCACTTATGGTCTTTCCTTATTCTTGTGTCTAAGACAGGTGTTGAGAGTTACTGTGTGATGGAAATTTTTAGAAACACCAGCAGTGTTGGGTGGATGAATATCTTTACCAAGAACTCGTAAATTGTCCTGAGATAAGGAAGGGCAATTTCCCTTTGTTTCATTTGTACTGTCTTTTCCTTTAGCTGTTCTCTGTCGTGAAGTCTGCCCTGTAAGTCCCTGCGAACCTGTCATGTCCCACCCACACACTCACACCTATGCACTCTTTCCTCGTGCAGAGCAATCACCTCACCATTTTCTAAGAGAAAACCATAGATTCCTATGGTGAGAGACAAAAGTTGATGTCAGCTGTCTCTTAGATTATAGACTTCAGAAACAAAAGAGAAAGAGTGCTGTCTGCACAAGAGCACTTCCCTAGATTGGGGCAGTCGATTCTCTCCTCTTCCAGGAATGGTCCATCTGAAACCACGATGATCACTCACCAGCACCACAATGAGCAGCATCCCAGGCAGCCGAGACTTTCCTTTCATTAAACTGCAAAAGCATATTACAATTGCACCAGCCTGCGGCACACTTTTTAACTTAAAAGCAAATTCTAATTCTTTGAAGACGAAACATTAAAAAAACAGACTCAAACCTAAACAAACTTTAGTCTCTCCAGAAAAGTAATTGATAAATTCATTCACACCGTGAGTATAATTTCACACCGCTAAGCATTTATTTATTAGAAAATAATCTGTGTTTCTGAAAACAGCTCTCGTTTGATAATCTCCCCGGGGCCATAACACACAGATATTTCATGGAATCAGGGCTTTGTAGGTAAAAGGAATCATCTTGTTAGATGAATTCTTCGGGAAAGAAGATCATGCCAGGATCCTTTTGTTTTTTAGATTGGATCCTCTACCCCATAATGATCTACTATAACAATCTACTATAAATTACTTTTGTGGTAGCTTTGTAATGTGTCAGCATGGCTACAATAAACTACATTTCCCAGAATTCCTGGCTAAGGTGGGCTCTAAGAAAGATTCTTGTGGAAGACTTGGAGAGCGGACGTGAAGCAGCAGCTGTATCTTAGCTCCCCCACCCTGTGCCTTGTCTCACCTCACCGGGATAAGGCAGTGACCTGGTGTGCAACAGTTCTGTCTTCCCCTGGCTTCAGTTTCTTGGATTCCTATACCCAAGAGCAGGCAGTAGCAATGGGTCCAGGCAAAACGATAAGACATATTTGCATGCCTGGGGGTAGGAAATAAACTCTATACAAATCAGGGGTCTGTAACTTCAATGAAATGTCTAGGGGTCCAGCCTAAGGTATATTGAGGCACCTCTTCCTACCTGTTTTCTGAGTGACCCAAAAATTATCAATTGTGAGTGGGGCCCAGAACAAGAGAAAGCTCTACAAGAAGCCCAGACTGCTGTGCAAATAGCTCTGCCACTTGGACCATATAATCTTGAAGATTTAGTGGTTCTTGAAATGAAATGTCAGTGATAAGGATGCTGTTTAGAGCCTTTTTCAGACTCCCATAGGTGGATCACAGAATAGATCCTGAGGATTTTGGAATAAAGCCCCACTATCCTTTGTGGAGAACTATTCTTCCTTTAAGAAATAGCTTTTGTTTTGCTACTGGGTTTTGATAGAAATTTAATGCTTAGCTATGGGTCACCAAGTGAACGTGGTGTGACTAGGTGTTGTCCAACCCACCAAGCCATAAAGTTGAGCATGCATGGAAGTACTTCATTCTCAGATGGGAGAGAGATATATATGAAATCAGGCTTGAGCAGAACCTCAAGGCATAAGTATGATGCATGAATACATGGCCCATCTACTTATGGCCCCTACTCCTTTTTTTAAAATGTTTCTTTAATTTATTTTTTGAGACAAAGAGAGAGAGTAGGGAAGGGTCAAAGAGAGAGGGAGATACAGAATCTGAACCAGGCTCTAGGCTCTGAGCTAGCTGTCTGCACAGAGCCTGATGCAGGCCTTAAACCCACAAACTGTGAGATCATGACCTGAGCTGAAGTCGGAGGCTTACCCGACTGAGCCACCCAGGCTTCCCATCATGGCCCCTAATTCTGATTGTCTTCTCCCTCTTCACCTGCACCTCTGACCTCTTGGGGAGTTCCCTGTGACTGGGTGATGGAGGAAGAAAAAACTAAGGACCAGTATGCACATGATTCTGCACAATAGGCAGATGCCACTTAGAAGTCGACAGCTAAAAAGAAAATGTTCAGGTGAGCATGACAGCCCCACTCTGTGATGGCCCTGAAGGACAGTGATGAAGGAAAACATTCCCAGTATATGGAACGTTGAGCAGGCCCCTGACTGTCCATTTTGTTTGGAAGGATACTTGTTCAGAAATACAAGTCTACACTAATTCATGGACCATGGTTGAAAAATTGGTGACAAAGAGATCTAGAGGAAAGATAGATTGACAGACCTCTCCAAATGGGCATAGCCTGTGGTGGGATTTGTGTTCTATGTGAATGCTCACCAAAAGGTATAGTCAACAGAAGAATATTTAATAATCAGATGGGTGGAATGAACCATTCTGTGGATATCTCCAGCAGCCCCTGTCATTGCCCGATTGGTTCACGAATAAAGTGGCCTTGGTGGCAAAGATGGAAGCTATACATAGGCTCAATAACATACACTTCTGTTTACCAAGGCCCACCTGGCTATGACCACCACACAGTGCTCAGTCTGCTAACTGCAGAAACCAACATTGAGCCCCTGACGTGGCACCATTCCCAGCTACTAGCTAGCCACCTACTGGCGGATTGATTAGATTATATCAGATCACTTCCCTCGTGGAAAGGACATACTTTGTTCTTACTGGAATAGACCCTGACTCTGGACACAGATATGCCTGCCTTATGCACAATGCTTCTGCCTAAGTAACTTAGTTCACAATGAATGAAGTACAGCAAGAAAGGAGGTACTTTCCTGTGTGCCAGGAAGGCATGCAGTTTATTTGTCTTACCATGGCCCCAACACTCAGAAGAAGCTGGCTTGACGGACTGGTAGAGCGGCATTTTGAAGACTCAGTTATGGTCAGTTGTCCAGGATGCAAAGTGTGTTCTAAGTCATCATCCAGTATGTATGTCTGTTTCTCCCAGAAATCATGGGTCTGGGAACAAAGGGTGGTTTGGAAAAGCTCCTCTCACTGTTATCTCTAGTGATCTACCAAACTTTTGCTTCCCATCCTTATATTTGGCTCTGCTGGTCTAGAAGTCTTAGCTCCAAAGAAGGACCCAACAGTGAGTCTGTTGAACTGGTGTGCACCTGGACACTTTGACTCATGCCCCTGGATCAACAGACAGAAAAGGGAGTGATTGAATGTGAGGTGCTTCTGCACAGAGGTAAGGAACAAAATGTCTCCAATTTTAAAATCTTCTAGGTTGTCTCTCAGTATCTCCATATCCTGTATTCAGTTACATTAACTCAGTTAGCAGGAGTGCTAATGGCCCAGACCTTTCAAGAATGAAGATTTGGTTCACCCCACCAGGCAAGACTTCACAACTAGCTGAAGTCTTGGATGAAGACAAAGGGAATATGGAATAGATGGTGGAAGGAAGAAGCTATAAATACCATATATGACCACACGACCAGTTGCAGGCATAAGTACTGTAATAGTCATGAGTATTTCTTCTTTATTATGATATGACTATGTATATGAATATATATTATGATATGACTATTTCTGCATATATATATTTAACCAGTTATTTTTGTGTTTGTCCTTTCTTATTCCCTTATTATCTAACATGGGTTAATAGTAGTTAACTTAATATCTCAGTATATAAGTTATAAGATAGCAAAGGAAAAGTGTGAATCAGCTGGAATCACACTAAGAATGAACATCGCCTCAAGTCAAAAAAGAACCTTGGATCCTATTCTGGGGGAAAGTTAATGTGTTTCTGGTTGGACTTGGGATAGATGTATCAGGTGCAGGCACGCATGCGTGCACACATTCACCCACCCACACACACACACACACACTCTCTCTCTCTCTCTCTAGTGTTTCTGCCTCTGTCTTTGAACCCTGACCAGTACAGTATTTTGTTGCATTCTTAAAAAATCAGTTTTATTCAGATATAATTGACATAAAATAAACGGCACATATTTAAATTGCATATTTTGATAAGTTGTAACATATACATATACTAATGAAACCATCACTGTACTCAAGTGACGAAAATATTCATCACTCTCAAAATTCACTTCTTTCTCGGGGCACCTGGGTGGCTCAGTCAGTTGGGCATCCCACTTCGGGTCAGGCCATGATCTAGCAGTTTGTGGGTTCAAGCCCCACATTGAGCTTTGTGCTGACAGCTCAGAGCCTGTAGCCTGTTTCGGATTCTGTGTCTCCCCTTTCTCTTTGACCCTCCCCTGCTCGTGCTGTCTCTCTCTCTCTCAGAAATAAAAACATTAAAATTTTTTTTTTAAATTCACTTCTTTCTCTTTCCAGCTTGCCCTCTCTGCCTCTGCTTGCCTCTCCCCAGGTAACTACTGATGTGCTTTCTCTCAATCAAGATGAGTTTGCATTTTCCAGAGTTTTATATAAATGGAATCAGACAGTATGTACTCTTTTTTGGTCTGGCTTATTTTGCACAGCGTAATTACTTCAAGATTCATCTGTGCTGTTATGGGTTCATTCTAAAATAGTTTAATCTAAAAGGTTAAATTCTTAACGAGAGGATGTTAAGTACAGGTCAATCGCAAGCATTTAGATACAGTGTGACTGGGCACAATTCAGAGAAACAGAAATCCAAGCAATCAGATGATATGCTGGGAACCTGTCCTTAAGAGGAAGGATCTAGCGATAGCACGGTCACTCCAGCCTCACTGTTAGGTGGATAGCATGGGCTTCTCTGGAAAGGGCTTTGAAAGGCTGGACTCCATGTCAAACAGAAATTTTGGCCAGTGGAATAGGGCTAGACTGCACCATATCCAAAGGTTATCTAGAAGACTAGGGAGGGACTAGAACACCCACTGAACTTTGAGTGTGGCATCTTCTGAGAAAAACATGGAATGACGTCCATGAATAAAGATGAGTCATTCTTGTTCTTACCTTTCTTCAGTAACATCAACATATGAATTCGGCAGCCCTTAGGCTTCTTTCACCTAGTTTTTCTCTAGCCCCACTTTCTCTTACAGATGAGCCAAGAGTGACAGATTGCTCCACAGGGTCCCTTAAAGCCTCCAAATATGAGTCATGGAAAGCAACATAATGTAGCGGGCATTTGACTGAGAAGCAAGAGATCTGAATTTTAACCCAGATCTGGTACTTACTTATTAGTTTGGGACAGTGAATATATTAGATTCTTTCTCTAAGTCTCACCTCCTCAGCTGGAAACTGACAGAGCTAGACTATATGATCTTGAAAAATTGCTTTATTCTATGCATCTGAGAGTGGGATAATAAATTCCTGAAGGATTAACAGGTATTGTGATGACAGGAACCATGTAGACAACCTGAATCAAATCCCCATTTGTGACTATAGGCACTAAAGCATAGCCAGTCATTCACCTATCCCCAGTCAATCCATCCATCCATCATCTATCCCTCCAACAAATATCTAACGAATACTAATATGTACAAGACATTGTGCTTGGCAATGGAAACAAGATGATGAATATGATCTAGCTCCTGCCTCAAGATGCTCACAGTTCACTGAGAGAAAACAAATGTATTCATAATTAACTACAACATTTAATAATTTGAATATTCAATATCCTACAAACAAAGATGGTGTTTTGGTAATACTTTGATCCTTGGAATCTTGTATACAACAGGAGAAGAATAATTGTGTTTTTTTGTTGTTGAAGTAACTGAATATGCATACGTTTATGGCAAAGGCCACTTTAGAAACTACTCCATGAAGATACAGAAGGGAAAAATTATCACTGTCCATCTCAAGCATTGGCCTTTAAGGAAATTTGTGGTCACCCTTTTTCCTTGGCGTGTCATATTGCCAGTTATATATTTCTTGTATGCACTAATTACTGTGACAAACCTTTAGAAAGAGGAAAAGGAGAGAGAACAAAACTTAATTCTACTTTCCATAAAGCTAGACAGGGAACCATCGATCTTCTCTCCAAAGGCCAAGGTGAGAAGTCATGAACTTTCTAAGCAAAGGAGACATTATCTGGAATGGGACAAATTTAATTAATTCAATTCATTAACTTATACTCTTAAATATAAATGTGATTATTTTGAACCTGAAGTTCAGCCTCATAAAACAAGTATGTATTTTTGAGGTTCGTGTCATAAACACTAAAACGTTTACTCAGCATCTAAGTTGTCCAGCAATGCTTGGTTTTAACTCAATGCCATTCTCCTTTATTGTCTTCAATCTTGCCAGAAACAAATAGCTTTAGGTGAACTGATTTAAACAGAAGGAACAGCTTATATCAACAGAGAAACCCTGACCATCATTTCTTTTTAGTTCTTAACTTGCACTGTTGAAGATACTAGTAAGTAAACAGCTCATGTAAAGTCCAATAGTTTGACTTCAATGATTCAGTTCAGCAGACCTCGGTGAAGCTTGCTACTCCATCTGACTTCCCCACAGCCAGTAATCTGAATCATGTGACTGCCTGACCCCCACCCCCACCACCTACCTCCACTCCCCGACATGCCATCAGATCCCACCCAAAGGAGCCAGTCGTCCCCATGAAACAATGAGCAATTCTTACGAGACACAACTGGAGCTCTGTTACTGTGGCACAGGAAAGCTTGATAAGATCTCCCGGCTATAGCATTCTTTTGTGTCAGCAGACGCAAGTGGGATGTTCCTTCTGCAGCTCTTACAGAGCAAGAGGAAGCAGGCTGTGAAACACAATGTTCATTGAAATCGGCTTTCATCTGAGGAATCCCATGGTGGCTCCTGCTTCGAGATGTGCATTCTGTCTGCAGCTGAGCTCTCCTGATGCATTTCCGCTGTTTGTTCTGAGGGGAAGGCAGCACCTTTATGAGACTCACTCTTTTACTAGGTAAAGGGCATCACATTGTGCTGGGCAAAGCTTTCTGTGCTGGGATGTCTCCAGTGTGTCTGGAGCCTAGAAGAGACATTAAAAATAAAATAAAGAACAATCCAGGCTTCCGCCACCCTGACTCACTGATGAACCACTGGCTACATTAGGGGAGGAGCACAAAGCCGCCCTGATGAAACTTGCAGCACGTGCATGCTTCATCTTTAGTAGCAGGAAGTGTTTGTTGCTTTAGTTATTTCAGTGTGCACAATGCCACAGGCCACAAATGGTGATACTTAACTACAGAACTGAGGGCTCTGGGCCCAATAGAATTGCCCAGAAACAAGTTGGGCTCTATTATCTATTCTACTCATTAAATCTAATGGGGGGGGGAGGGGGACAAACCTGGGAAGGAGGAAGTAATCCACAGGCAAATCATAGGTAAGAAGTCTCTCCATCCTATTGTCTTAGTTTTATAATTTAGCAATTTACTTTCTTTTCAGAGAAAAACATCCTGGATCCAAGAAAAAGTGGATTAAGAAGAGGGCTAAGTCAGTACATGGAGAAGCAAGTCAACACTGGTTACTCTGTCTTGCTAGACACCTTCTCTCTTCTATCACAGCCCTTCCTTCTCTGCTCCACCCCATCTGGACTGACCAGCCTCTAGCGCAAAGATAATTATCTCTGTATATGGATAGAAGGGTGAACATGAGATCTTCATTTCCATGGCACTTTTGACTCTGGATATAGTGTTTTCCTTGGACTCTTAAAATAAGCTGGCAAAGTTGGGAAGGCATGGTCTATCTCAGCAGCAGAGGGGTCAGCAGAGAGACGGAAGAAGGTAAGTAGCCCCGAACCTCATAAAGAGCCAGCAGCAATGCATGAAGAAGTCGTGTGTGAGTTTCCTGGCCCAGGCCCCTCCTCATTAGTTGGATCCCTAGACACGTTGATAAATGACCAGTCTCCAATCTGAGCATCAAGGCTGGCTTTTCTCACCACCAGAAAGCTAACGTCCTCTATAGGGCAGTGTGTTTATGTGAAGGCAGGTCTGACAGGTATATAAGGAGGTACTGACACTGGAAACCCGAAAACATGGAAGTGGTTTCCTGGAATCCAGTGTGCTTGTTCTAGTCTGAAAAGAACAGACGTCAATCTTGTAAGTTACGCAGGACACTGACGAAAATGACAACCAAAGCAGTCAATATTCTCAAGAAGGAAAGATTTGAAAAAGTACTAAGAAATTAAAATTCTGGCTAAACTCCATGAAGAGGACCCAAACTGTTTTCCAAGGGGCTCATCTTAGCTGAGATAATAACAGAACTCCTGAATACCTGGAAGTTTTGTGGAGTCTTCTTTGCGTTATTCTTGGGAAAGGATTTGCCCAAACTATAGCAAAAGGTTCTAGTGACCTTTCCTCTACTTCTGAACTGAGTAGCTTGTCCCTGATTGGAGTAGGCTTCTGGAAAAGAGGATTTATATTAGGTATTGGCTTTGGATGGAAAGGATCCATGAAACTCTCTTCCTCAGTCATCCCCTTTCCTCAACCTTGCTTAAAAAATAAAATTAAATACTTGTGACCAAAGCTTTGTAAAGGAAGGACACCTGGGTGGTTCAGTTGGTTGGGTGTCCGACTCCAGCTCAGGTCATCATCTTATGGTTTGTGAGTTCAAGTCCTGCGTCCAGCTCTGTGCTGACAGCTCAGAGCCTGGAGCCTGCTTTGGATTCTGTATCCCCCTCTCTCTCTCTCTGCCCCTTCCCTGCTTGTGCGCTCTCTCTCTCTCTCTCTCTCTCTCTCAAAAATAAATAAATAAATGAACAAGCAAACAAACAAACATTTTTTAAAAAGCTTTGTAAAGGGGATTCCTGCATGAGTAGGATATTCTGGGGTTCTTTCTAACTTTCAGATTCTATGACTTTAAAAATGCTAGGAGAATAATGCTGATCTATATAACTTCTATGCATATATTGTTCTCTGGGTTAGAACCACATAAATAATGCCCAGAAGAGTTATCACATATTAGATTAGAATACATCTATCAGTTCATTTCTCAGCCAAATATATATAAACACATATACACACACATATATATACACAAATATATACATATATATACAAATATACATACCCATATATATACACATGCATATACATATGTATATGTACATATATGCATGTGTATATATATATGGATATATACATATATATGTATGTGTATATATATAGGGATTACATAACTTGCAGCAAATAAAAAGATACATCTCTGTCCTTAAGAGCATCACAGTGTGGTCTGAAGGCAATCATTAAGCAGATGATTTGGGTGTAATATAGTATTTGCTGAGTAGAATGATATCCAGGTTAACATTGGCCCTATAGCTCTTAACTTACCTCGTGAAGGAACAGGAAAGGCTTTGAGAGGAGGTCATGCCAGAGATAGTACTAAGAGCTTGAAAGGTAGTTATCTAGGTGAAGATGACGAGGAAGACAATTCTAGACAGAAAGACTCACATAAAGCAAGTAAGAGGGCCTGAAACACAGGGCACCTTTGAAGAACTAAAAGTAACTTGGTACTTCTGAGCTGTTGGCAGTAAGTCAGAAAAGGGCAGGACATGTCTGGGGGCAGGCTTAAAGACTGTTCTGAAACTTTATTGTTTTAGTTTTTTTTTTATAGTTTATTTTTCAGACAGAGAGAGAGCATGAGTGTGGGAGGGGCAGAGAGAGAGGGAGACCCAGAATCTGAAGCAGGCTCCAGGCTGCGAGCTGTCAGCACAGAACCCAATGCGTGGCCCAAGCACACGAACCACGAGATCATGACCTGAGCCGAAGTCCAATGCCACCCAGGTGCCCCCTGTCCTGAAACTTTACAGCTTTCCTTAGGACAAAGGTAAAAGAAATCAGACAAGGATTTATACCTTAGTGCTTTCTGATACTAAGACTCCAGAAATCTAGGCAGTATGAGGTTAGGTATCGGAAACGGAGGTTATGCGGGGATCAAAAGACTTACTTAAAGGTCACAGAAGGCCACTAAGGCTGAAGACAAAGATAAAACATTATTGACATCTTGGTCGGTTGGTAATGGCCGCTTAGGAGAATTTTAAATAGCAATAGCAATGTGACTCTCTCTCTCTCTTTTTCTCTCTCTTTTATTTCCTTAGTAATCAACACAATATCTACAAAGGCTGGGATCCTGACTGCAATTCTGTGCACCCCAAGAATAAATGGGAACAACATTGGAACACAAGAAAAAAGAGTGAGGGAGAGAATCAAACCCTGCAGGCTATGTATGTAATATTTCTAGAAATCTCAAATTATGGGATTAAAAACAGAATGAAAAGGAAATGGTTTTGAAAGTAAATGATTGAACACAAGCACTTGAACTTGATCTATAGGAAGGAACAATAACAAAGATGATTTAAGTTTATGTATAGTCAGAAAACCAGAAACAAGGAAGAAGATTGCAACCATTCATTGGTTGGGAAGCTGATAGAAACTACTATTCTTAAGATAATTTCAGAAAAAGCAAAGAAGACTTCCATGAAAACAATGAGGAGTCCACAGGGCCTCAGGAGGGAAGGCTTGAGGAATTCCTCAGTCCCTCACCTCCGCTTCTATTTGTCCCAAACCCTATCCCTTAATAACTGAACAAGGTCACAAACCAGACAACTCTAGAGCAATGAGGACCAACTATATAACTGCCAGGGCCCAGAAGAAAATGAAAATGTAGAACCTCTTATTCAAAAACCTGAGTGGCTCAGTCAGTTATGCATGCACATGATCTTGATCAGGTCATGATCTCATGGTTGGTCACTTCAAGCTCCACAATACAGACCCTGCTTCACATCCTCTCCCCCACTCTCTGCCACTCCCCTGCTTGAGTGCATTCTCTCTCTCTCAAAAGTAAACATTCAAAAATACAAGAAAGAAAAAGCAGAAAATAACATGCCACTAGAAGTATTTAAATATAAAAATTTTCCTTTTTTCTGGTCTTTCTCTTAACTTGCCGTGATGTTAATTTTTACTGTTATTTAATGACACTGTAAATAAAGAAAACATAAATATTTAAATTATTAGCATGAATTTTACCATTCATTTTTATATGGTACGTGCTAGCTAAATACAAACATAAAAGCACTTATGTAGAACCATCAAAATTACACAATTTGCATTTTACAGCTCATACACACATATGTCTTTTATTCCTATCAGAAGGATAGAAATGCTGCTGAATACTCACTCAGCTGTTTTTATTTCAATTTCCAAGGCACGTCCATTCTAACACTCTACCTTCAATTCACAGATGAGTTAAAGAAGGACTAAAAGGAAAAGTAACTACAGATCACTCTCTTTCCTTTTGGGTCATGATTTCTAGCATATGCGATTGACTAATACAGGGAAGTAACATGGTAAGGAAAGCTACGATAGAGTTCCTTAGTTGTTTGTGTTTCTCAGAACTCCATGGTCTTCTATCTGCAAATGAAGCAAGTTCCCTTTTAAAAAGAAAACGTGGCCTCTCAGTTTTGTCAGACCTCCCCCACCCCCGCCCCATTTAGTCATGAACCTAATAAGTTGCCTTGATTTGATTTGCATTTCAGTGAATTCCTGTGCATAGTGGGTTCACCCAAATGCTGTGCTCAGAGCTCACTGTGAACACTATATGAGAATGGGGCAGCAAAGGCTCACAGCAATCATGTACATTATATGTATCTTATCTGCTCAAACATGTATTCCATTGCCCTGTTTGACTTCACTTAAAAACATGAGTTCCAGGGGCGCCTGTGTGGCTCAGTTGGTTGGACGACCGACTTCAGCTCAGGTCGTGATCTCACAACTCGTGGGTTTGAGCCCTGCGTCGGGCTCTGTGCTAACAGCTAGCTCAGAGCTTGGAGCCTGTTTCGGATTCTGTGTCTCCCTGTCTCTCTGACCCTCCCCTGTTCGCGCTGTCTCTCTCTCTCAGAAATAAATAAAATGTTAAAAAATTAAAACACACACACACACACACACACACAGGAGTTCGGGGTGCTTGGATAGCTCAGTGGGTTAGATGTCCAATTCTTTTGTGGCTCAGGTCAGTCATGATCTCAAGGTTCGTGAGTTTGAGCCCTGAGTCAGGCTCTGTGCTGGCAGCGTGGAGCCTGCTTGGTTTCTCTCTGTCTTCCTCTCTGTCTTTCCTCTCTTAATTGTGTTGTCTCTGTCTCTATGAAAATAAATAAAGCTTAAAAAACAACATGTGAGTTCAAGGATAAAATTATTGAGAATCGTTAAGGTGGCAATAACGGTGCCTCCACCAAGCCTGAGGTCCCATGAGCCCCCATACGACTGTGCAGTTTGCGTGGTGGTGAAGCCAGCCCTGGGAGCAATGGATTCATATTCCAAACTACTGTCTAAAGAAATTGCCTCTTCCCAACAACTGTTTCTTATTTTGACCACAAAGCTATTTCAGAAAGCCTTCAGAGATCAGCAGAGTCTTCCCCAATTTGTAATTCAGCCTCACAGAAACAAGGCAGTAAGACTAACTGCAATTTATAACTCAACTTCATAGAAACTGAGGCAGTAAGACTAACCCGTGGCAGGGAAACACACCTGGAGAGATCGTTGGGCTGCCTGAGTTAAAGACTTTTTATTATATTAAAAATGAAGATTGCAATCATTTGAGCTAAGATCCTAATGATGATTACGAATTTTAACCTCACTCATTCAAGATCCTACATCAATGACCCATGTCACTAGTCCACTATTTTCTTCTCATTTTGGATAAAGAAAGTTCAAGCCCTGAGGAATCCCTGTCAACCAGATAGAAGGTAGTAAGAACATTGCAAGAGGGAACAGGTTAAATGTTACCCTTGGATATTTCAATATGAGGTATGAGACACTGGGGAGACACCGAAGGCTTTTCGTAGGAATCTTAGAGGTATTTAAAGATTGCTTCTTTTGTCTCCTTTGAATTTCAGCAACACCATTTTGAGAAACACTGCCTTGAAAGGTGACTGGCTTTCAAGAAATTTCTTGGCAAGAGTATCTATGTAGCTTTTATGCACACGTCAACTAGCATTTATGACTTTGTAGCTATTAAGCTAGAAGGTCCTGAGGAAAGAGTTAATGTTGAAGTATCCAGCATAAGGCATGCTGGACACATTTCCTTACCAGAAAAAAATAAGAAGGCACTCATCCAGGAACTCATAAAAGACTGTGGAGAATGTTGATTGGCAGTTTTAGCCTCTGCATCTGGAGAGTTTATTTATAGTTATTTAAATCTTGATAATCAGTGGTACAGGAGAAAAAAAAGAAAGAATAGATTATTGGAAACCATGCATCATTCACAAACTTCATTTTAAACATTTGTTTCTTCTATCAAAACTTCCACCAGACTGCTTAACGAAGAGTCACGTTGCAACTTTGTACTTAATTTCCTTTTATGTCATCTGCTGACCCACAGGAATAAATGTCAGACTGGGTCAGAGTACTGTAGGGTAGCCATAAAGAAATAAAAAATAACAAACAAATGAACTATCACTATGAGAAAATGACTAACCTACTTTGACCCTCCATGACTACATCATATAACTACCAGAGCTCCCAAAGAACAAAACTGGAGTACTGACCCTAATAACTAGAGCAATGTTCATTTTGTGTAACATACATCTTTTAAATTCCAAGTCATACTTTATTTCAGAAACAGAAATCTACTCAAAATTAGCAAGTAGTAATTGGCTAGAACATAATGAATTGATTCTTTAGCTTTGTTCTTTTTTTTTTTTTTTTTTTGCCCTGAGCCATTATGTATAGTTAAAAGGCCAAATCTCAATGATTCTAGAAGGGAACTCAATGATTCTAGAAGGGAAGTTTCTGAAAGTTCTGTTTCATCAAGTCAGCCTGGAAGGAACAGTTTTATAAAATGAATAATCTCTTTTTGGAGCTTGTTTGATAAAAACCATAAGATCTTACCTGAGAAGCAGGAACTCTTCCTGGCATGAACCCCTGCTTTAATATTTAAATGAATTAATAGCCAACTTCAGCTCAGGTCATGATCTCATGATTTGCAAGTTCAAGTCCCAGGTCAGGGTATATGCTGACAACTCAGAGCCTGAATCCTGCTTCATATTCTGTGTCTCCCTCTCTCTGTGACCCTCCCCTGCTCACAATCTGTCAATCTCTCTCTCTCAAAAATAAATAAACATTAAAAACAAAACTTTTTTTAATAAAAAGAAGAGGAGATGATGAGTCTCCAGAAAGAGTTGGTAACTACTACACATCTTCTCAAGAAGATACCAGCATAACCTTTATTGCTACATGGACTGGCTGTTACTTTAAGTATCTCCTCATTTGTGCACCTGAGAGTAGGTTGCCAATGTGAAATGTCCATCTTTCCAACAGTAGAAAATCAGCTGTATTTCTCACTTCTCTTTCTCCATTCCTTCTCCTTCCCTACCCTTATTCCTAGTCTGCTCAGTATAAAATAAATCTTTGATCTAGCCAACAAATAAAGAGTTGACATATCACTTGTTGAAAGCAGTTAATCTCTATAAATTTACCAACTAAATGTTAATCCCCAAATCATCAGGAAATTGGCTAGATTCTCATCAGTATGCCTCTTGATAAAAGCTTAGGGTTAGAGTTCATTGGTCAGGACTTCACATCCAAATGGCACCATTATTCCCAGTATTGTTTTTCTCATAACAAAAAACATTTTTAAGTTTTTAAGACTCAGAGCTTTCCCTGGAATGATATCTTCTATTCAAATCGGGAAAAAGAGAAGACCTATAAATTATAGATGCCACAGTTTTGATGATATAAACAAATATTGAAGCGTAACATTTAGTAGCATGAGAAACTCTTGAGAAACTTCTTTCTGACTTCAGGAAAGAGAAGAAAACAAAGGTAATTCTTGATGGCTGAATGTAGAAGATATTTTAACTATTGTTGCTTATCTGTACATGGATAAAATCTCTCTAATCCCAGGCTTCTGGTTTAGAAAGTGAGCTGTAAAGTGGGCGATTTTAGAACATTCTCCCACTCAGAAACTCTGTTAAAACAGAAGCAGAGGGATTTGGGAGTGAAAGGCCTTATGTTCATATAGTAAGTTTTCGTTTGGATAATTAAATTTACTTTTATTGGCTACATAATCTCTTAAAAACTAATCCATGTTTACTTTAAATCCTTAGGTCCTGAAAGTGTTTTTTTAGTAAAATACAGTGTCTAAAGAAAGAGATCAGTATCAAGATGAAAGTTTTAATAATTGTTGTGTGATGCTTTATTTATTTATTCATTTTGTTTTGTTTTGTTTTTG